TCGTGGATGTGGCAGCGGCGGCTCCGTGGCCAGCATTCGTCATACAATAACTTGACACATGCTCATTGACTTCTAGAGACACAGACACTGGGACGCCAGGGAGAAAGATGTTGGATCAGTTAAACTAAATACGTCGTCGTCCTTGGTCGATCTGCTGGCCTAGCGTTAACAGTGCTCTCTTTAAGTAACGGATGGACCTTTTCTTCCTTTTTTTTTTTTTTTTTTTTTTTTTTCTTCTTCTGTGCTCTTTCATCCCCAAAACTAAACATGGACCGTACCGAGAACCTGATGATACGCCACTAACAGTCGTATTTGCAATACAGAAAAAGCAAATATTCATGAGTTGAGCAGTATTCAAATCATTTGTCGAAACGAAAAAGGAAAAGAAAAAAAAAAGTGGAAAAGAAAGAAACACAAAAGCGAAAAAAACCGAGCAAACGGGGACTAAAATACGAGAATAATGTCACAGAAAGCGGATGATTGGCCTGCACACGCCCTTTTCCACGTGGAAATCAGCCAAAAAGGGAGACGAAGAAGAAAAGAACAAGAAAAAGAGACTTTGGCTGGTCCAATCTTCCCTTGCCCGTCCGCGCGGTTTACCTGACTGGCGGTACCTCTGCAAACTCAGCAGGCGAGACGAAGAGTCAAGCGAGAGAGCTAGTGGAAGGATGAGGATGAGCCTGAGGATGAGGCTACAAGGCAAAATGAGGATGTTATTAATAGGAAGAGGTCGGTTAAGGAGCATTGTCGACCATCCATTAATACGATGCGGATGATCAGACGGACTATCGGCTTGGAAGGTCGAAGCTCGAAGTTGATAGCTCAGAGCTCAGGAAACTTGTCTTCTCATGGAAGGTCGAGCAGCCTAGAAGCTGGAGATTATACATAATTCTCTCGTTTGACCCAAGGAAGCCTATGAAAATTGGAGCGGAAGATAGACTAGAAGACGCCTTATCTCCATCCGTCCGTCTTGGAGAGCCCAGCACGGACCGTCCACTGAGTTGAGGATGAGAACGGCTAAGACGGCGATGAGCAGCGCAACCTGCCTAAGCAAGTTAGAGTACGGAGATCCAGTTAAGACGGCCCTCAATCTGGCGACTGCTCAGGATAAACTCATCATTAGGCTGGACATCAGTACTCTAAGAAGTGGAATAATGGACCCCCAAGGAAGGTCGAGAAGAATCAGAGTGGATGCGGACAGCGTTAACACCCGTTACTTCAAGTCCAAGGACCGGCGATCTACGAACAGCCGCATCATAACCAAAGCAATGAACTTTGACAACCCATTCCGCACTGCCAATTATTAGGAACACCACGCAACTCCTGTGATAACCTGAGGAGACGAGTGATATATCTGTGTCCATCACGCCATCGCCGAGAAGCAATTTCCACCTTGTCAGCCACGTTTCGCCCGTTGGTGCGGATCAAAACAACTTTATTCTGCAGCAGGACGAGGATAAGCACCAGGACACATCAGACAAAGGTGTGTCATGTAGAGGCCTTTGGTTTGACATACCCGTGGTCAAGCCCTTGCACAGAATTTTACTGGAGGTAAAAGAGATGATTACACTTGCTTACTTTTTTACTCTATCCTTTTGTCTTTCTCATTCTACGCAGTGCCTCCTTCATAGTCTTTCGTTTTAACCCTTTTAATAATAGGTACAAGAGAGGGCTTTCCCCCTTATTCCAAGGGATATACTCCATTAACTCCCTAACCCCATGATATAATCTAACTAACCCTTATTCAACCCACTAGTTACGGGTGAGAAGGGAACCGCACTCAGTTCTCACAATGAGAGGTGTTTACATGTGTAGATATGCAAGTACGTGTTCCCGACATCTCACCGGGCCATCCGTGTGGAGAGGTAGCAATATTTACACGTGGAAATGATACGGACAGACGGGTTTTGTCCATCCAAGCCGCTTCATCGATGGATAATTTTCCTTACCTACATATATGAAGGGGAAGAAGTCGCTGGAGCCGCTGGAGCAGTTACATCATCAAGAAGCAGATCTGATGAGACGGGAGCCTGAACCCTGTTAACGTTGTATGCGGGATCGATATGCCGATAAGCCACTATCCCCGTCGAGGGTAGCAGTTGCAGCGAGCAGATGTTCGATGCAACGGCCACCAAGGTGCGCGCGCGTTTCAACAGGATGTTCGTCCGGGTTCGTCCTGTCTTGTGGGTGGGCGGTTATGGTTATGGTTAAGGAGATGGAGATGAATATGGAGATGGCTCAGGGTCAAGGATGGGGAACGCCGGTCAGGTAAGCAGCATGTAAGAAATATAGAGGGCCTGACTCTCTTACACTTCTCGTGCCTCAGGCCCTCCCTCGTTATTATGGATGCTCCAGGGATCACGCCGATCGGGGCAAGCACCATCGGCTTCCCCGGCGGCGGGCGGCTTCCAATTTTTCCCTCGGCTGCTTTTCTTGTCGCCCCCTGGATCATCACGTTACGAATTACCGCAAGTTCTCTCTCTCTAATCTTTTTACGTTTCCCAGCAGTCAGGACGGGGCCCCCGCCAGCTGGTTGGTCTCGTTTTCTTTTTAGGTCGTCTGTATGTTGGTTTATTTTATTTTTATTACTTGCGACGAACCCAAGCCAGCCAAATATAAAATACATCGTATTACGCCAGTGTAAGTTGTTGCAGCCCCTGTGTATTAATCGTATATTTACTTATTTGAGGGATAGGCAAAAGTATAGACATTTTTAGAAAACATTCTAGCCGCATTAGGGAAAACTGGGCATTTCTTTTGTTTGCGTGTACGGGCTGATACAAGGGGCCTTTGCTTTTGCCCAAACAGAGGAAGGGTAATGTTACCTGGGATGGCCGCATCGGGCGAGATGAGACGACTCTGCCCCCTTTGGGTCTGGTTCCTGACATCGGTACCCCCCTTTTTCACACACAATACAGGCTCCAGAAGGCCTCGGAGTCGCAAGTCTGAATACCCACTGATCCTCACTCTAACCCAACACTTCTTAGTCCATCTCGATAGGCAGAGCGAGAGCAACATGCTTGTTTAGTTAGTCTCCATCCTTCGCCGTTGAAATCCTGGCCAAGGAGTTGGGCGAAGGTGGTATTAAAATAGCATCACCTACTTACGTATATTCTCGCTGCTTCAAACGATGCCCTTCTGGTTGTCGTATTTTATACTCCGTGCTCCGTCGAGCCCATTTATTATCGAACACCCCAGCACGGAGGATTACCCCTAGTTGTCACTTAAGTAGTATTACTTGACAGGTACGGATTACTTGGAGGTCGGGTTAGATCATGTGCTTGACAGAGCCTGTTCCATCGCTCGTTATTAGCTCAAGAAGCAACAAGTAAGAGACTGAGCCTTGCCTGCGCTTCCGTTGACCTGATTCTGTCTCTGCCCAACCTTTTTTTTCTTTTATTGAATCTTCCCCCTTTCTCGTGGCTTCAGCCAACGTGCATATCTTATTTCTCCGCTGCCTTGTTCCCGCCTGTACATACATACATGTGAGCTATCTCATGACGAGAGGGAGATCAGCAAAGATGAAACACGCTGTTCGCGATCAGCGAGATCCCGACTTCCCCCGCCGATCAAAGCGTCGGCACGAAAAAAGGAGAATTACTCGAGTGCTGGTTGGCCACAGCGGCCCCTTTGATACACGCGGTGTCGCTCCACCAATTACGGGAAAAGGAAACTGCTTTTTTTATTTCATTGGCTGGACAAGTGTGGAACCCCCTGCAAGACAAGCTTTCCTGCCAAGGCCACGCTTGGACCCTCAGACCCCGATCTGGCCGCCCCGCGCGCCTCTGCCCCAGAGGTACTTCCGCGCTCGGCTAAAGTGTTACTGCGGCGGAAGTACCGCGCGCCTTCTGGCATCCCTGCTTCGACCTGCCGGATCGGGCACACGCCCTTCCAAGAGCCCTGAACCGCTGGACCAAGCGCAGCGTGAACCAGGGAACCAAGCGCCGTTGCGTCGGAGCACAATGCTGCAGTCAGAAGGTCAATGATGATAATCGTTGGCCTGTCCTGTTCAAACAGGGAAGCTGACCGTGGTCTTGTGGAAGATGTTGGTTTTTTGCCATGTCACTCACTCCTCTTTCACCTGATACAAGGGAAAAAAAAGCAATCGTCTTACACATCAACCTTCATACGTAATGCGCGGTGATCTTCCCACTTTTCACGTGGAGGGCAAAGCGCCATGAAACGTCGGCTGGTCCCTCCTGCAAGTCGATCACAGTGGGCACTGACCATGCTTCTTGTTTGCCTCCTGGCGTGAAGTATTCTGGACATCTCTTTCATACCTGACACACCTCTCCCGGGGAAGTACTCCGGTCTGCTGCAGGAAAAAGACGATTTAGTATTTAATTCCCGATCAATAGCCTTTGAAGCTTATTGATCACTTATCCGTCTCTCCCAACCAGCAAGCAGCACACCGTTTCTCTCCGTCTCTCTCGTGAGGGGCAGTGGCTGGTCTCACGTGTGGTATGCGACGATGTTTAATTAATTACGTACATGATTGTGTGAGGGGCAGTCAGGGAGACGAGCTGCCTCCATCGAAGCCTTGAGGCTGGGTCTGCTCTCTCGATCCAATTTAAAATATCCAGTCCGGCCTCGTATTGCCGAGGCGTCAGGGCGGGCGGCGGTCCCATAAGAATGTTTACACAGCAACTCTCTTTTCTTGGAATGCAGTTCAACGATGGTGCTCCATAGCCCCCGTACGCTCCGTGTAAAATATTACTTACCTAATTACTATCGGTAACGACTCCCAAGGTCAGTGGGTAGTGGATGGGCCAGGACGTTTACTTATGTCGATCAGGTGACCCACTGTCCCCGGGGCTTCTCGCGGTCCTGCTGCCAACATCGACGACGCCAACAACAACAACAACAACAATAATAACAACAGCTTCAGCTTCAGCTTCCAACCTCACAACCTCAAACCTCCAAGGCGACGGAACAGCCCTTGTGCGACGTCGTTTGACCCCTCCTAAACGTGCTGGCCGCTGATCTTGACGGAAAAGAGTTTAAGATGGCCGTCCGTGGCGTCCTTTCGTTGGAATAACAAGAAGGTTGGTCTTGTTTAACTTCTCCTCAACTTGTCTTTTCACGCCCACCTCCCACAAACCAGCCACAGCAAGAAAACAAACGAAGAGATGTTTCATACCCATCTCATCTCGACTCGGGTAAGCATCCAGAGAGGATGGATGGACTTGTGATTCGATCTCGATCTTACGCCCGAGAGAATAATGCTTCTTCTCCTCCTGTACGGAGTACCCTCCATCTCCCACTCACTCCGACCGACCCCCTTATATCACGGCATGTTATTACTGTCAAGAGCTGCCCGTCTATTGGTCATGCTCGGCTAACTAACCTGCTCGATACCCATCTGCCTTGGTCGAGAAAGGCGAAATGCTCAAATAATAATGCTCTGTGCCTCCTCCACCCCCTGAGACTTGAGTTCTCTCCCCTCGCAAGATATATTTAGAACATAGGCGAGAGATGGGAATCGAGAGCGAGGAGAGCGGCAAAAATGTTCCGTCCGAGAAAACGGGACGCCTCACGGGGTAGTTAGCTTAGCTTAGCTAGTTAGCTTGCTCAGAACTCATCATTGTTTGAGTACGGATCAAAAAGAGATGTGAAGACAAGGAGGGCAGGGAAAAAAACAAAGGAAAAACAGCCAAAAGCCTTTCTTCTCTGGCATGCCTTTTTGGCTTTTCCATACACACTTCTTTTCTTTTCTTTGCTTCCTCGTGCGTGCCGTCCGATGTGTGTGGCCATCGCGTAGATCTGCATCCTCCAGCAGAAGATCAACCCACCAATCCACGCTCACTCACCCATGCACACTTCCTCAGGTTGACGAAGGGCATCAAGGGCAAGGCGTGGGCATGGCATGACATGGGCTGATGCAGCCAGCGAGGCAAAAGAAGGTCATCGCGGTTCGCTAGAAACCAACCACTCACAGCACCCGGCCGGACATATCCCCAACCCCTCCATCGAACTCTCCATGGAACGGGTAAAGCATGTAAGTACAGATCGATCTAAGTACATATGTATACGTCCTCCTTGAGACCTTCTTTCAAACGATCTGTGCTCGACGTTTGAAGAGAAAGAAAGTCAAAAAAACAAACAAACAAGGGCGTATCTTCCCCATACGAACGAATCTGTCGTATCTATGTCGACCTGAGTGGATGGAGTACACTCCCTCCCTCCCTCCTCTTCCTCCTCCTCCTTTTTTTCTTTTCGAGGAGAGTCAACTTCTGCAACCCAAATTTAATTACATTTGCCTCGTATTTGGCTTTCGGCCAAATCTGGGAGCCCGTTGGGTGGTTTCTTTTTTTTTTCCCTTGCATGGGAAGACAAGAAAAGAAGATGCGAGAGAGCCTTAAACCGGGACAGGACTAGCAAGACTTTTCCCACGAGGCCAAACCCGCCTGCAGCATCCTGATCGGGGGAGGCAAGCAGGGTGAGGAAACAAGGTCAAGCAAAAGTGACAGCCACATCGACCTGTTTAACGTGGCTCCTGTGGTGTCTTTCGCTTGTGATGAACTCAAAACACACTACGCCGGGCTGCCTCGCTTGCTGCTCGTCAGTACCACCACTGCTACTGACTTGTTCAACTGCTCCGTACTCTTTATCGTATGACCATGAGGATGGCCATGCGATGTGATGTGATGTGACTGAGTACGGGATGTCCTGTGTCGCCTTCTCTGCTGCTCGTTTAAACGTCAGTCCACCTCCACAGATTTAGGCATAGTATACACATCCTAATCATTATCGAAACAGGGACAGGTGCCACAGGAGAAGAGGGGGAAAAAGAAAGATGATGAAAAGAAAGAAACGTTGTGAATGGCACGGATCATATTCCCACCAGCCGCCATTCCTCGAGGCACATATCAGGATGTCTCTGGCGAGCTCTGAGTGGTGAATTATGCCGCGTTTCCCCAAGCACTAAACCAAAGACAACAAGTCGAAGCGTCAACCAACTGTTCGTTTTTGGATGATGACTTTTTTCTTTTTCTTTTCTTTTTTTATATCTCACCCTCTCCATACACATGGTTGATCATCTTGAAAGTTATGATCTTTTCCCGATATCGGTTGTGTGAATATGCCTTGGATGTACGCTGCCGAGCACCAAAAAAGAGAACATGATGCTGAATATGGGCTTTTTCTGGCACAAGACAAGACTCACACGTCTGTCTCAACTTTCGACTATCATCCGTTTGAACCGAGAAAAGCAGAGTCCGAGGGCCGTACGGAGTGCTCGTGTGTAGATCGCACTCTCGGCTGAAAAAAAGATGGACAAAGACCCCTTCAACGATGGCGGCAAAATTCCTATCTTTTGTTCATTCATCAACATATCACTACGACATTGATGACACAGGTACCCAGTACATTATATACAAAATGGAACTGCGGAGATATCTTCCATATATTGTGAACGTTACAGCTGTCGTTCTCCATACTGCTCCGACCTGATGGACCCTGCTTGGAATCCCTCCCTCCCCCCATCGGGTGCGAAGACAAGAAAAGAAGATGGCGTCCGTCGAAGATCGCCTGGATGTGATTGAAATCACTAGTTTGAGCTCTCACTCGCTGGCAAGCACCTCGACCCTCCTTTTTTTTCTTTTTCTTTTCTTTTTTTTTTTTCCTTTTGTTCTCCCTCGAGGGAGCCCGGCCATAAGGAAGTGTGCATGTCCGTCCGGTTGATCAACCTGCGTCGTAATGCACTTGTACCGCGGATGGATTCCCCTTGGAGACGCAAAAAAGCAAAAAATACAGAACAGAAAAAGAAACGAAAGCCGAAAAAGGGTTTGCAAAATTGCTAAGAATAAACGCTGTTCCTTTTTTCACTTTATTTTAAACCCCCGGCGAGCCAGTAATTGCAATACGGGGGCGATGACAAGGTTTCCGCCGGCGTGTTATCGAGTTTATCCCTGACCCCATGGAGGAGACGAAGAGAAGGCAGAGAGAGAGGCAGAGAGAACGAGGACTATCATTCCTTTTTCTCGGTCAGCTCGTCCTTGATCCCTTGTACTGGAACCTTTAAGCCTTAAAGTCTTGGTTTAAACACCCACCCTTGCCCACCATGCCTTTTCGCCCCGAACACGTTTTTTTTACAGCCGCCTGGGTTTAAAGACTACTTCTATTCCTTCTAGCCCATCCTCTTTCTCTCTTCCTCTTCTTATATATAACACCTTCCTCCGCACCCCCCTGGACTCTTCCTTCCTTCCGTTATCTACACCTACTACTTGGACATACACCAAACATACAACAAACATAACAACCAGCCGGACTTCAACCTACCAACTCTCTCACGCACTCTCTCTCCTATACCCTTATACTGGCAGCCATGGATCTCGCACAGCTAGTCACCAACTATGCCCCTCCGTCACCTCGACGCACTTCATATTCTACTCAACAGTCACGGCGGCCGTGGGGAACTACTACCTCGTCAAACATCAAAGCAACTCCTTCTCCATACGCAACCGTCATGGAGCTACCACCTTCTCCAGAGGCCGAGCCCGTTGTGAGATACTCACTACCGCCTATCTCAACTCTCTTCCAGGACATCGAAAGCATATCTCCTCCTCAGTCAGCCAGTAAGTAGCCTATCTGTTAATGTCTGTCGTAGAACCATGGTCACTAACATAGAAATATAGAACGACCAAAGTTTGATGACTGGGAAGAGGAGAGAAAGTATAGAATGATACTTCCTCCAACTCCTCCACAGCGACCAGAGTCCAGCTTTGAGGAATCTCGACGCTCGCCCTCTGCTTCCAGCACCCCAACTTTGGTTGGGTCTTCCACCCTTACCAGCCCAGCTTCAGATGCTCCCGAGCGTCCAACTTCCAGAACAACTTATTCCAACCGCTCCTCCTTCTCAGAGACTCGTGAGGCTCGCTATCCATCACCAGCCAACTCAAACGTGGCTCGCTTTGCCTCCCCCGAACAAAAAGTCTCTTCGCCAGAGTTCTATCCTGCCAGCGTCCCAAGTTTCAAGCCAGTTCCAGCTGCACAGCCACAACCACAGCAACCTGCCCAGCACCACCACCATCAAATGATCAATATGGGAGAGATGACTGGAACTACCACCTGGCAACACCATCACTATTTCCCTCCATCAAACACTGCAGCCTACCCACTCAACCATGACAGATACATCTGCCGCACCTGCAATAAGGCCTTTTCTCGACCTTCCAGCCTCCGCATTCACTCTCACAGCCACACTGGCGAAAAGCCATTCCGTTGCCCTCGTCCAGGCTGTGGCAAGGCCTTCAGTGTACGCAGTAACATGAAGCGCCACGAGAGGGGTTGCCACAGTGGCCGTGCTGCCCAGCGCGGCCCCCACGTCGGTTGAAGCGGCGGTCTAGGGGTGGAAAAACGGGTAAAAACAACATTTGAGTAGATCTTCCATACATTCGTGAAGATCACGCATTACGCTTTTTGATTGAGATCATATTCCCTCTGGTAGGGTTGGACATCCAATCAATAGGCTTCTTCACACGGGAAAAGCTAAGCCGAACCATGAACTACAATTCATCTCGAGCATCCCATTTCCATCTGCACTATCAGCCTAAAGCTAGACAGGCCGTGCATATATCGCACATAGCCAAGGTCAGCTATGGCAGGTGAAGTCGATAGTCATCGACAAAGCCCGCGATAAGAGCATTGCATCATCTGGTGACGATAGAGGTCGCCGACGAGAAGTTTTCGGGGTTAAAATTGCTGAGCGAAGGCAAGAGGCGATATGAATTGTATCATAGAAATATATAAAGACTGATGAATGATATGACAATCTCATTTGTTATCTTCGACGCACCTTGATCGATCCTTTTGTAACCTATCTCAATCGTAACTAGGATATGGCGAGTGGCAAGCAAGGCCATTACGTATCTTGTGTGCCTGGGTACATCTGTGTGACACTCGGCTATCAATTGTAATCATCATGCATCCGTTTGCTCCAGCACAGCCATCTTCATAATTTGGCTCGCGGTACAGGGGACAAAGATGTAATTATTTTGTTTAGTCATCGCTGCCTCACGCTAACATTGGGCAACACTCAAAACCTTAACTAGTTTCCTTTTGGGCCTGCTAGGTAGTTCAAAAACCAACCTCGGATGATCTTCAAGTCCAAACGACCTCCAGACAAGATACCCTGGGCCAGCAAACAGCTTTCCAACACATCATGCAGTTTTCCACGTTGGATATGTATTCTTAGAGGTGCATCTCGAAGGCGCATCATTACCATTTTTGTTAACACGGAAGATACCAATTTTGCAAAATAGCTTTAAACATGTCAGAAATCACTCAAAGACGCACAGGGGCGGCAGGCGGTTCAACCGCTCCTGGCCACAAGACAAGTGCAGCCCAAGGACAGCCACAGCCGAAGAACGGTAGCGGTCATGCGTTCAAGGAGCTCGTCGCCCTGCTGACTTTGACAAAGATTGTTTTGGCTCGCCCTTTCGAGACAGCTCGATTGGTTTTCTTGCTCATCCATCAGTTTGCAAAACAGATCTCTGGATCGGCATTTCGGCCAAATCGCGATATAACAGACCAGTCTGGTAGAGTCATTTTGATTACAGGAGGTGAGCGAAAGTTACCACCGCTCTTCAGTTACACGGCCACTTATGCTTTATCTGCTGTAGGAAACACAGGCCTTGGAAAAGAAACGGTCCTGGAGCTAGCGAAACACCAACCTGCAAGGATATATATAGGTGCTCGAAATGAGCAAAAGGCCCGTAAAGCAATGGAGGATATCCAGTCACGGCTAGAACAGACAGTGGACATTCGATACCTACCCCTTGATCTGTCATCGTTTGAATCTATCCGGGAAGCAGCCAAATTATTTACCGGAGATTGTGAGCGTCTTGATACTCTCATCCTTAATGCCGGAGTGATGGGCTTGGACCCTTACCGGACCAAGGACGGATATGAGGTGCAGTTCGGTACAAACTACTTGGGCCATTTCCTCCTGACGTCACTATTGCTACCTACGCTCCGGAAGACAGCATCCCAGCCTGGTTCTGATGTTCGAGTTCTGTCCATCTCATCTGCAGCTTGGCAGATGGCACCATCCTCTCCATCGAGGCTGCTTTCACTCATGACTTCTACCGATGACCTGCTGGCAAGTAATAGATGGACTAGATACGGGATTTCAAAGGCTGGGAATATCCTGCTCGCATCGGAACTAGCAAGACGCTACCCGGAAATCACCAGTGTCTCGATTCATCCCGGTGTTATTTTGACAGCCTTGTACGAACAGGGGAGGGCATCCAGTATTGTACTTAAATATGGCCTCGCTTTACTTGTTCCATTCGCTTCTAGTGAGAAGGATGGGGCGAAGAACCATCTATGGGCCGCCGGGTGTGCTAGGAGCAAACTGCGCAATGGCGAGTACTACTCCCCCGTGGGGATCCCCGACTGGAAGAACGAGCTTGTACACGACAAGGACACCGCACGGCGTCTATGGGAGTGGTCGGAACAGCATATCACAGACAACTAGGTCGCAACTGCATATAACGCCATATGTGTGTATATATTTATTTATCCTCACCCGCAGCACCCAGATAGAAACATTATATATAGAGAGAGAAAGCTGATTTCCGTATTTGGAACTGAGTTAGGGCTAATCGCCCGGATAAACCCACCAACCGAATCCTGGCTTGGCGTTTATGTGCTCAACCATCGAAAAGGGCAAAAGCGAGCTTGACTTTTGTAGCCGACGTTTCGACCAGACGCCTGCAGGACGCAGATATCTACCATTCCACACGGTAAGTTGCTGCTCGCGATACTGAGTACCCTAATACGTGCGCAAAGAGACAACCCAGGGGGCGCCTCGCGGACTGCAAACAGCAGGCAAAACGAGCTCCCCGATTTTTCCGTTCCCCCCACAAATAACCCTGATTGGATGTGTGCAAGTGAAGCTAATTATTGAATATCAATCTGGACGTCCCTCGTCCTTTCGCGATTCTTTTACTCTACTCTAGATCTTTCACCCTCTTAACCTGTCCATCTCTCCCAGACGTTTTCAATCGTCTCGCTTACGCCTTTTCCGCATCCGTATACCTCGGTGGAATTCCCGGCCTTGGAAATTTTGAAGGAACATAGACTATAGGAAACAGAAGGGACGGGAGACAATATTCATCATGGATCTCGCAAAGTTACAGAAGATGCAGCAGAGTGTGCGAATTGGTATGATCCTTTTATCCTTCTTCCTTGCCCGCTGCTTTGCTGTTTCTTAGTGCCAAGTACCAACATTGGAGCTGTTTTGGTCTGTGCTGGGAGGCTGGCAAGCCTATATCTTTGTCCCGCTGTTTGGACCATGGTTTAATATACAAGATTTCAGTGTTCCCTCGCTAACATGACTATCAATTGCTTCTAGGGTATGTTTACTCCCTTCTTTTTCGGTTATCAGACCTATTCGACACCCCCGCCACTATCAAACTCCCTCTGCCGGCTAGAACTTGAAGTGGCAAGGAGAACATATTATTTATTTATTTTCTGGCATACATCAGCGGATTGAAAACTAGCGACAATATGAATTGGTATGACTGACGACATATACGATACGTGCAGTGGAAAGGGAACTCCCCGCCGCAAGATGAAGAAGGTCCACAAGTCCTCCGGAACCGATGACAAGAAGCTCCAGACCGCTTTGAAGAAGATGAACGTCCAGCCAATCCAGGCGATTGAGGAGGTCAACATGTTCAAGGAGGACGGCAACGTCATCCACTTTGCTGCTCCCAAAGGTAAACTCACTAAATACTTTTGCATCATCCTTTCTATAGACACGCTAACAACTGATGAAACACAACAATAGTTCACGCTTCCGTTCCCAGCAACACCTTTGCCATCTACGGTAACGGTGAAGAGAAGGAACTCACTGAATTGGTTCCTGGTATCCTGAACCAGCTTGGACCTGACTCCCTTGCCTCCCTTCGCAAGCTTGCTGAGAGCTACCAGAGCATGCAGAAGAAGGAGGAGGGCAAGAAAGATGATGAGGATGATGACGATATCCCAGATCTAGTTGAGGGTGAGAACTTTGACAGCAAAGTTGAATAAATGATATACCTTGAAGGATAAATTAAAAAAACTATCTGACCCCAACAAACAATTCAAGCTGGTTGCGCTTAAACGTGAACTAACAACACCCATTATCTTACTTCTACATGAAATCATGATCAATTACTTCTGATTCACTTGGATGTTACAAAAATGATAATGATGTAGAATTCCTTTATGTTCTCCGTATTTATGTGTATCAAGTATCGTCGTACACGGTTAATTTCACCATGTTAACACTGGATATTTAAAATTTGTAAAGACCATGTTCTGATCAAAACTTTCATACTGCTCTGAATAGTGTTTATGGGAGAGAAAATAGTTGCCGATGTTCCGGGTCCTGCCAGACTGGCAACTGTATACACCGGCGGTGTGTATCAGCCAAAACTCTAGGCTTGCTTTTCTTCCCGTACCTCGAGGCAGAATATCTTGGCCCGCATGGCTATTCTGGTGGAATATTTGCCTTTGCAATTAGCAAACAGAAACTCTCAGCTTGAGTTTCATCCGGAGAATTAGCGGACAACTAGTAGGCGTAATAACGGATAGATAGGCTATTGTGGTCTGGAGGATCGCACCAGCAGCCATGCATGTTGCTTAACTGGCCAGTAAAACAATAGTCAAAAGTAAAATCAAGGTGGTATTTTATCCTGACTGTGTATCTGGCGGTGCTGGCACGGTTTCCCTAGGTAAACGAGACTTTGGTCGATCAGCGAGTTTGACACTCTTCTGGACGCCTTGGGGGAAGCGCTTCTGTGTGCCACAGAATCCACATTTAATGACCCGAGTGTCAGCCCAGGGTTTCTTCATTCCTCGACTTTTGTTCTCTATTGTATCTGAACACGTCACCCCCGGTCTCAACAATGAATCACATCTTTTGCATATGGATCGCTTTGTCTCGCGGTTTAGTCTTATTTGTGATTTCTGAGATACGCCACGGAGTTGGTTTCCGTATTGTCGGGAGATATAAGAAAATGGTTTCTTTTCACAGCTAACTCCAGGATTCAGGATCTCCTTTGAAATCTCTTGCTCGGAGACGGAGGTGGTATCATAGTTTACCTGGCTCTTGTTGCCATCCTTGCTAGATTTGGGTGAGGTAGCATTTTGCAAATAGTCGGCAGCCTTGCATAGATAAGCTACTCTTGCATGAAGGTGAGCTTGCGCCCGACTACCTGATCCTTTCTGGGTCTTTTGTGCCTTCTTAGCCATGCTGCTTGCGGACGTTCACTTGATATCAAAGAATCCAATAATTGACTGGTTGAATCTAGACGTTTCCTTTCATTGCTTCCCCAAGCTCAAAAAAAAAGAGGCGAGGTAGTGAATTAATGACTAAGCAAACTCGATCACATGATCGGAATAATGATTCTCCGAGGAGTCCCAAAGAGGCAACGCCCATTTTCAACTTTCGCGCTTTCAACTTCCAACGAAACTTCAGCTTTTTGTTCTATCACCATCATCATCAACAACCACCTTGAAAGGGCCCTCTCGAATACAAGAACAGCTCACACTCATCGAGTAGCCCAGTTTGAAACCTAGTTGCTCATTTCCTGCCTAGTATATCTCTGGGAGAAGCCTTGTCCATTATCATCTCCCCCCTCTTGACTCAGAAATCACCAGAATCTCACACCATGGCCACCGAAGAAGATCTTATCGACTACTCCGATGAGGAACTCCAGACCACTGATGCTGCCGCTGCGCCAGCTGCGCCAGCTGCCAACGGTGATGCGTCTAAGAAGGGCGATCTGACTGTAGGCGGAGCGGGCGCCGACAAGAAGGGCAGTTATGTCGGTATCCATTCGACCGGTTTCCGTGATTTCTACCTCAAGGCAGAACTTCTACGCGCGATCACCGATTGCGGCTTCGAACATCCATCGGAGGGTTAGTTAACACATTTCTCCCACGTCCTTCCTGTTGAAACCCAGCCAAATATCCGCCCATTCCCGCTTTGGAATCAAGAGAATATGGCCGATACGAGCTTGCAGGCGGCACGAGGGAAAAGCAATCCATGAGGACACATTATTTTCAAGAAGAAAAGAAAATTATCTGTGGAAACACATTTCTTTTCGCGCAAAGGATACAGGCCTCTGTGCCTCATTTTGCGGCGTTCGACCCCAGAGTAGGATCGAACTAATGCCACTTTTGCCGCTTCTGGTCTTCCTAGGCCTTTACTGGCGCAAGGGGAACGTAACATTGACCCGTCGCGAAACCAGCAAGCATGGGAACCTTGTATTCATCGAGATGTTCTCTACCCTGAAGATACCTCCTCGTGCCGCCCTGCAGATAAGCCTATATGTTGCATGTATTTTGCGCTCTTCCGAGTATCACATATATCAGCTGTTGGATTTCCCTCCTTTTCGCGCGGAAAAAGGGGTTATTCTCTTCTTTTGTCGCTCTGGAACCAGCTGGAATGGGCGGATATCTTTTTCATCCTGCGTTTTCTTGAAACTGGATCGAACCAATCTAACATGTCTGCCACGTACCCCATACAGTCCAGCAAGTCTGCATCCCAACAGCTATCCTTAATGTCGACGTTCTCTGTCAAGCCAAGTCTGGTCTCGGAAAGACAGCTGTTTTTGCCTTGACCACTCTCCACCAGCTTGAGCCAGTTCCTGGAACTTGCTCTATCCTGGTCATGTGCCCTACTCGAGAGTTGGCTTATCAAATCAAGGACGAATATGCCAGATTCAGCAAATACATGCCAGACGTGAAGACTGCAGTGTTTTATGGAGGCACCCCGATCCAGAAGGACATTGAAATCCTTTCTTCCAAGGATACCCATCCCAACATCATTGTTGGTACTCCAGGCCGATTGAATGCCCTTTTGCGGGACAAGAAGCTATCCCTCCGCAATATCAAATCATTTGTCTTGGACGAGTGTGACAAAATGCTCGACCAGAAGGGTTAGTTCTATCTTATATCAGTACCATATACTTGGCTATACTAAACTAACACATTTAATTCAGACATGCGCGCTGATGTTCAAGAGATTTTCCGCTCTACTCCTGCTGATAAGCAGGTGATGATGTTCAGTGCCACTCTTGCCCAGGAGATCCGTCCTATTTGCAAGAAGTTCATGCGAAACCCTCTCGAGGTGTATGTTGATGATGATACCAAACTCACTTTGCATGGTCTTCAACAATACTACATCAAACTCAGTGAAGCAGAGAAGAACCGCAAGCTCAATGAGCTCCTTGACAACCTTGAGTTCAACCAAGTCATCATCTTCGTTAAGAGTACCGTCCGTGCGACAGAGCTTGACAAGCTCCTGAGGGAGTGTAACTTCCCAAGTATTGCTGTTCACTCCGGTGTTTCCCAGGAAGAGCGGTATGATAGAGTCTCTTCCTTCACTCTTATGAAAGAATCATGCAACTAACGATCAACTCAGCATTAAACGATACCGCGAGTTCAAAGAGTTCAACAAGCGTATTTGCGTGGCAACTGACG